TAATGGCCTTGTTTAAAGAGTCACTATTTTGTTCGTCAAACGGTAGGCTCAAGCAAGGCTGATAGGATTATGATCTAAGTATAGTCACTGTATATATGTTAGTAATATCGGTAGCTATAAGTAGTCTGCGCTAAAGTAAAAAATAGAAAATATTAGAGTAGCAGGAAAGAGTCCTGATAGATTATGACAGTAACGAATTTACTTATTTTACAGTCTGGTATCATAATAAAGTATATATATATATCTATATTATAATTGCCTTTACAAAGTTTTTTTTCCTGGATTAGTCTGCCAAATAAAGAGGGGCCTTTTCTATAGCAATGTCTCTTAGTAAGAAGTGTATTCTAACGAAAACTTGGGTGTCAAAGGTGAATGCATAATAATATTATATCCATGTAATATAATAATGTTTAGACACAGTTTAACTATACTTTTGAAAACTTGGTTCAATTTACCAACTCAAATGTTTTTTCTTAAATCCAGATAAATACGAAAAAATATTCAGCATTGAAGGAGTCCCCATCGAAAACCTAGTTGATAATTTATGAAGAATTAATTTATTCGCAAGGACTAAATCGATGCCATATTACTATTCACGCATCTTATTAAGAAATGGAAAATAAGGTATTCTCAATTATAAGCCATAATTATATATAAATACGCCTTAATAAATAGGTCAGGGCACCCTAGCCCTTCTCTAGGTCTTATCAGAGAGTGTCAAATCACGAACGATGTGGTTCAACATTAAACCGAATCAAGCAAGTAATATCACAACATTAGTGGTTTGGCATACAAGAGACTAGGGCATAGGAAATGATAGACTTGGTATTACGGATAGAAACAGGATGGACGTGTCGGAGACTGGAAGTAGTTGGCTGACAATAGACCTCTTTTACCATTGAGTGTGCCGTGTATCGAAGGCTTGACCAAAAGAATTACTCAGAGGATTTAGCCAAGAATTAGAAACTTATAAGCAGGAAATGTTAAATAACGCATCGAGTAGAACAGATATGGTGGCAGGGTTCGAGTGAAATACTTGAGACAAGAATATAGCAGAAGAATCCTAAGGTGAAAGAGGGAGACTCTGAAAAGACCTAAGGAAGGAGGAATGCTTAAGAATAGAGCAGCCTCTGATCAACATTCCCAGCACAAGAGTGAAGGGGGTGAGGGGTGAGAAAGCCAGGTCAGAATGCGAAGGGTTCTCATAAAAGACGCCCGAAAGAGAATAGCATACCACATTTAAGTAAGCAAGTAAAAATTGTGATAGTGAAAGGATAATCGAGGATATAATATTGTTTATTAGCCTAGGAGGAAGAACAGATACCACGATTGTTTAGGAGACAATTAACCAAAAAGTCGTCTTCACTTGTCTCTGACGAATTGTAGTATAGTGCTATGAATGGCAAGATTCACTGACGATACCAACTACTATGCTGAAGAAACGTATGGGAATGTACAACGTCCACTGTCCGATTCTGAAAATTATCATGCATGCGAAGGACTGTGGACTATGGGTGTTTCTCTAAATCTTCCTATCAATATGACCAAGTTTCGAAAACAAGGTCTAACAATTTCTATATTGCGACCACACTAGCTTTGCCATCATACTTTCGAATAACAAAATATTTGTGTCTGACTCACTAAAATTAGGATTCGCTATCTATCTTTACATACAATTCTAATGCCAATAATCGAATAACATTGAGTTTCAAAGGCCCACTTTGCAATACAATAAAAATATTAATGCCAAAATTAGTTTGTTTCAATATTTGCTCATTTGAAGAGTCAGATTATTAATTCCAAGGAATTTAAAGGAAAGTCAAAGTTTATCTTTCTACCATATTATAAAATATTAAACATTATCGATTATCTAGGCATATAAATTTTAGTTTTCTTAATAAATCACTCGCTTACATTTACAATTAAAATAAATAAATCCAAAAATAAATTGCTTGATGTGAAAGTTAATCTCCGAATTTCTTCATTAGTTATTTGAGTACAATTATACCTTATTTTGTAAATTATAATAACTTTTTGCAATTTTTTATGTGTTTCTTCTATACGACTAATGTGGTGTACTTTGTGCGTAATTTAAACAATCATCTCAATAAATAAATTGATATTCTTAAATAGTTTAGTATCCGCTTATTTAACTTTATCCATACATTTCCCCTCCTAACTCGATCTTAGCCTTGGCTTGATAACTACGATTCTATCAAATCATGGTAACTTCACTTTTAACGACGCCACACAGATTTTCAGTTTACAGCTCAAAGCTGAACTCGATGGGTTGACAGATCTTACCTATGATGGCGACCACTTTAGGTGGTATATTAAAGTTTTGTGCACTAATTGCAAAGAAGAGCACCCAGATTTTATTTATTTATCAATGTGAGTACTTCATATAACTTTATGCAGAGTCATCAAAAGATCAAACGAAAGGACAGCAGGGGTCTGGTGAATATCGCTCTCAAATGCAGATCCTGTGTTCGCGAAAATACAATGAGTAAGTTCATCTAGCCTTCACATACAAGTCATCTAAATTGAAATTCTCGTTCTTGGAGCAAGCATCGTCGAAAACTGCATTCATTTCATTTTTTAAAGCTTTAATTCCAGAAAGTTTTGCACATTACAATTTTGAAGATTCTGGGACTTTTAAGACGATAGCTCAATTTGACTGTCGTGGCGTCGAGCCCATCATTTTCTCTCCAAGAATCGGATGGAGAGCAAGGGGCGTGAAGTCCGGAAATTTATTTTATGATATCAATCTTAATGATAATGTAAGTCTCTCAAAATCACATCCGATCTAAAAGTTGCATCCTTACCCACACCTATCCAAGACTTTACAAGCCCCTGCACATTAACTATAATACCTTATCTAATGTCCCGCAATGTAATATCGGATTTGTTTATTCATAAGTTAGGTACGAAAGGAAATTCCATCTTCTATACATTTTTAGCCCACTCGTAGCACGCCTTGCATTGATATCGACGTGACCTTTACATATGAATTGTAGTGGCGTCCATTTTTATCCTAACTTGCTGTCCGTAGAAGTGTATACTAAAAGGTCATGGAGGACACTCATTTATACTTTGAGTGTTTTATTCTGGAATATTATGGATTCTCAAGATCAACAGAGATATACTTAATAAGCCAGGGCTTAGTATAATCTTTTGGGGTTCATATGTCCCAATTCCCCTTAACTCTTTTTTAAACTAGTCATGCATCAGCAGGAAATCCATTTGGGTATAACAGCTGCCCAGTTCCTTGTCTCTGGTTTAGTCGTTCTTTTAATGTCTCTAAGATACACTTTTTTCCTTCATTTGTAGGATTTCAAAGCTACCGG